CGACTTTATACAACCTGTTTTTCAAATCTGAATTATATAAATTCGGATTAATCCCGTAGTGTAGACATACCCTGAGTCTGCTTGGAGGGCTGCCCTGGCCACAGCTCTGCCCTCATCGAGGATAGCCAGGAATTCCTTCCTGGGTTTCTCTGGCAGCGAATCTGTAAACTTGGGCATGGACTGCCAAATATTAAAATTTTAACAGCCAAGTAAGGCCTGATGGTTGACTACTCTCAGCTGGAGGCTGGACGTAGAATAAATTTTGCTACCAAAGAGATCGAGCCTCTTTGCCTCCTTGTTCTTAGGCGTTGATCCCAGTTGGCCCTGTCTAGAGTGCTCATTGGCTGCTGACACAACCAGTGATCTGGGGCAGGGTGGATATAAAGATACTTATATCCCTTTGCGGGATGTAGTATTTTCTTTCCACCCACTTGGAGATAGCCTCCTCCCTGTCCCCTATCTGCCACAGGGCCTTTGTAATTTTCACCACTCCCTTGTGCACCAGCAATGCCACCTTGGAGAGGGCTGCTGCCCTTGGCACATCGAACAGGGAATCCAAGGGTTCTGCCAGTTCCTCAGCTTCCAGCCCCAGGTTTGAGGCAACCCTCTTCCAAAGCTCCTGGTAGGCCCCGCTATCACCTCATTGGGCGAAGATGAGGAGGAGGAGGCAGGTCTGCCAACTCCGCCAATTCTGCTAGGAGAGCCTCGGCCAAGGCTGGCTGGCCCTAGGGAGCCTGCTCTGACTCCGCGTCCAAGTCAGGGGGTAGGCAGGAGACTGTTGCTGACTGTCTTTCAGATGCCCCCAAGACTGACCTATGCCCCTGCAACCGGTGGGGAAACCCCCAGGGGTTCCATAGATGCCAGAGGTCAGGCCACTGACCCTGGGGCCATGCTGCCACTGGTGGCCCAGAGAGGAATGCCGATGCCCGCGGTGAGTGGCCTTGGCCTATAGGCAGGGTCTCCTCCTTGCTGTCCAAGCCCGAAGGAGAGACTTGTCTGGGGGATGAGGACAGTACCGAGGCCGCTTACCTACCCTGATCCCGTCAGCTCTGGCCGTGGACCTCCACTGAGGACCTGTACAGGGGTGATGGCTCTCGGTGTTACGACCCTGGTGACCGGCCGCAGCGTTTGGTGGATTGGCAACAATACCCCGATTGATGCCTCATGTTTAGAGAGTGGTGCCACTTTGTAAATAGGGAGCGAGAAGACCGATGTGTCTGAGAATGTCGACATGCCCACAGTGAACCGTATCGGTGACGGGGCTCCAGGGACCAACATCTCAACCCTCCAGAAAGATGCCATGAGCTGGAAGAGTGGCTCAGGCACTCCCAGCACCGGGGCTCTGGGGACTGGTGCCGCCTCTCTGCGGGTCTGCGTCAGACCACTGGTGATTGACGCCTGAGAAACGGTGCCTAGAGTCCAGGGACAAATGCCGGGAACTCTGGCAGATAAGCCGACCTGCGTCCGGGGGGCTGGTGGTGCTGTTCAGACAAGGGCTGACGGGGCACCCCCTGAGGCAAGGAGCAGTGCCGCACTGATGGAGTCCACTGCAAAGGTCCCAAGGCGGGTTTACTCCTTGAACAGGGCATCTCAGCAGCCGGCGTGGGTGACACCGGAAGGGACAGTATGTCCTTAGCTGCCTGAAAGGCCTCCAGGATGGGTCTTGAAGCAGGCTCGACAGCTCAGCGGGAATTGGAGCCTGGCCACCATCCGGAGAGGAAGAGCTACCCCGTGCGGGGTCTGCTCCTCTGACTCTCTCCTTCCCTTCATGGGACCCAGAAGAATGCCCCCTCCCGGCCTTCCTTTGCTTTTTAGCCAGTACTGGGGACGGGGATCGGCGCCGGTCGCTGCCAGAGGCACACTCCACACTTAGGCCACAGTGCTTGGAGCAGAATCCGACCTCGTTGGCTTCGAGGCCGGTGCGAGGGCTGACTCCATAAGGAGCGCTCGAATACGAATGTTCCGCTCCTTTTTGGTCAGCGGCCTAAAGTTCGTGCAAATCCAAACACTTGTCGCTCAGGTGGGTTTCCACCAAACATTTCAGGCAGCTTCTATGGGAATCATTGACTGGCATGGGGTTTTTGCAACAGTCTCAAGGTTTGAAGCCCAGGGACCATGGCATGCCTGTCCCTAGGCTGAGTCCCATATGGGACTAATTAACTATTTCTAATTTAACACTAAGGGAACTATTAACTATGCAACTTTAAAAAAATATATACAACAAATTAGGAAATCTTGCTGAAGCACTGTCACTGGTGGTAAGGAACTGAGGGAGGGAGGGAGGAGCCGGTGGCATCCCTTATACCAGCGCATATGCGCGCCAGTCCAGAGGGTGCAAGAGCCGGTGCCCTACGGCTACCACTGAAGGAAAAACTTCTGGCACCAGTGCATATGGCGAGCACACACACCTACAATGGAATGGACGTGAGCAAGCACTTGAAGAACCACCCTTGATTTTGCCAACCGACATGCAAGCACAAATGGAAGCAGAACAGACAGCTGAACTTTTAACTCAGCTACCAGAAGATTTTAAAGAATTGGAAATGTTTTACTAACAGATTCCTAAATTCTCTGATACTATTAAGTCTGAACAAAAATTAAGATTTTGTCATTATGTATTACACTGGCTTAGTGCATGTCATCATGTCTCAAGTTGCTGGCCTCTACACTGGTAGCAGCCTACTACTGAATGTCAGCTAATAAAGTTAATTTTCCAGTTAAGGTGATAGAGACTTGTAGCTTTGGTGCTGATGGTCCCTAAGTTCTATCACAGCTGGCCACCTGTGATGGACCTGATGCCTCAACAGCGTTCAGCTAAACAAAGCCTGACTGTAGCTGTCAACAGTACTATTGCAATACTGATCATTTCAGCAAAAAATCCAGCTGCTTGGGAACTGAAGGCAAAACTTGGGTAGGATCCTACCACTTCCAGTTGCCAATCTGACTTCTATACATGACTATGACTTCACTGCAGGATAGGTAAAGAAAAAAAGTTGGGGCTGTGAGAGGAACAAATGTTTATAAAACTACACATGCAACTTTATATAGAGGGGAAAAAGTACTGAAGCAACATTTCTTTTGTATCTGTTTCCAAGTTTGCTCTCAACAGAGATGGAAATTCTGGATTGCTCTGGGAGGCCAAGTCAGCTTTGTTTCACTTTGTATTGAGAAAGAGAGAATATTAGTCAGCATTACTACATCCTCTGCAGTCTTGCTGCTTAGTTAGGACATCCAACTTAAACATTGTTATATTTTATATATTTAAATACTAATCATAGAACCATAGAGTTAGACGGGACCAGAAGGGTTATCTAGTCTTATCCCCTGGCAAGACGCAGGATTCATCGTGTCTAAACAATGCAAGACAGACAGCTATCCAACATCCTTTTGAAAACCTCCAGTGAAGGAGCTTCAACAACCTCCCTAGGCAGTCTGATCCATTGTCTTCTTACAGTTAGGAAGCTTTTCCTGGGATTGGGATTTAACTTAAATCTGCTATGCTGTAGTTTGAACCCATTGCCTCTTGTCCTGCCCTCTGTGACAAGAGAAAACAACATTTCTCCATCTTTTTATGACAGCCTTTCAAATATCTGAAGACTGCTATCACGTCCCCCCTTAGTCTCCTCTTTTCCAAACTGAACATACCCAGTTCCTTCAATCTTCGCTCACATGGTTTGCATTCCATCCATTTGATCATCTTTGATGCTTGTGTCTGGATCCTTTCCAGCTTCTTTACGCCCTTTCTATACACTGGTGACCAAAATTGGACACAGTACTCCAGCTGAGGCCTAACCAGTGCCAAGTAGAGCGATACGGTCACCTCCTGTGACTTGCAAGCTATGCCTCTGTTAATGCATCCCAAAACTGCATTTGCTTTTTTTGCCACTCACACTGCTGACTCATGTTGAAGTTGTTCCACCACAACTCCCAGATCCTTCTCTGCAGTGCTGCTGCCAAGCCAGTTATCCTCCATTCAGCGTTTATGCATTTGGTTTTAATTCCCAAAGTGTAGCACCTTGCCTTTGTTTAATTTTAATTTGTTGTCTACAGCTCAGTTCTCCAATTTATCAAGATCCCTTTGAATTTTAGCTCTATTCTCCAAAGTGTCTGCAACTCCACCCCCACCCCCCAGCTTTGTGTCATCTGCAAATTTGATCAGTAATAGTAATGCTTGTGGCAGTCTAAATATTCTTTGGACACAAGTTAAGGAATAACAGCTGAAAAGTTGTACAGCTTTCCCCCCTCTGAAACCAGACATCAAAACCCACTTTTTACCTTAAAGATTCAGATAATGGTGTTAAAGTGCCATCCCCCCTGTCTACAACACGGAAGAAATTCAACTGATCTCCTTCCCGGTACACCAAGAAGGTAACCTGTTTGTTGGATGGCCCCTTCTCCCAGACCTCATCTCGACTGGGGTCCATGTATTCAGCCATTTCCCTAATAGGGTCTTCCACAGGAACTATAGGAGAAAACAGAATGAAAAACAGTCTATTTCAACTTTGAAGTCTAATCCCTCAAAGAGGCTGAGGTAGAACACCTCAACCTGCATACTGTGTTTAAGAAATCTACAGTGATGGTCTGAAAATGTCACTGATGGAACAGTCTTCAGGAAGAAAACAGTAATCTGCGCAACTTGAACTGTTCAACCTAAAATGAGTTTTTTCAGCCAGCACTCAAACATAAAACACCTGCATAGATGTAGTTTGAACTCCCTGTGGTTCCAAGTCATTTGTGGGAGTGCATTCAAGAGTCTGAAGCACTCTAGTACCTAGCTCAAGTTCCCACACCTCTCCCTGCTATGTTTATATCTCCACCCTCTAGGGGACTTCAGTGACTGCTGGCAGTTAGCCCAGAGGAACCAATGGAGCCTCCCCGAGTTGACATGTCTAAATGCTGACAGCTATGAGCCTCTAGCTACCTGAGACAGGGTTTTATCACCCAGCTTCACAAGCACCTACATTCCTCCTGTCAGAGACATTAAAATCCACATCACAGCTACCTTTCAGTCACTCACTGCTCTTTTAAAAGGAAATTATAATCACAGGAAGTCCAGTAGCACCTGCTACAACATTTAGGAAAGCTATGGCATGAATGCTTTGACCACATCATTGTGTGCATAATAATAATAATAAAATAAATAATAATAATATATGGAGATATACCTATCTCGTAGAACTGGAAGGGACGCTGAAAGGTCATCGAGTCCAGCCCCCTGCCTTCACTAGCAGGACCAAGTACTGATTTTGCCCCAGATCCCTAAGTGGCCCGCTCAAGTACTGAACTCACAACCCTGGGTTTAGCAGGCCAATGCTCAAACCACTGAGCTATCCCCTCCCCCCAAACACTTGGGGACAGCTTTGAGGTAGGATTATTTTTAAAGCTCAGGTGCCAGAAACAGTTGACTGGAATGGTACAAAGCGCAACCTAAAATGAAGGTGTTTGTTATTATCCCCTATTCATCTGTCTGGCTCTCCTCCCCTTTCCATTACTAGCCCCTCCCTTTGTTGACTCCTCTTATTGAAGCAGACCCGACATCACCAGCAGCAGCTCCAAGCAGAATTCCACATATGGGAAAGCATGGAATGAGATAAATAAGCAGACCATGAGATCCTGCTTAGTTACTGAAGATCTGGCATCAGACGCTGCCTCTTCCTAACTGCCTACAACAGAAGAAGAGAGAAGTCCTGCACACAATGGTGGCTTTGGACAGAAAGCACACCTTTTCCCCCAGCACTGCCGTACTTGCATAGGAGATGGGGAGCACGACACAAAAGGGAAAGGCAGACCAAACACAGAGGGGCCTTCAGATGTCCAAGGATGGGATAGAAAGACAGAGGAGAAAAAAAAAGTTAGCTAGTTAAGGGTGGACAATTCTACTAACTAGATTTATAAGTAAAATAAATTAATTAGAACCAATACCTAGAGAGACTGATAGGAAAACCTTAAATATAAACTTCCCCCTAAAATATTTAAATCTCATTTGAAAGTGAGCAGAGGAGATACAAAAACCAATGAAATCAGACCCACTTTGGGGTTTTAAACCTTGATTAATTTTACTATTCTAAAATGAGGAAGAATGAGGTTAGATTTGATTACTCTAATCTGAATTAGAGAAAATAATCCCAACAGTGCTCACTATGTTTTAAGTATATTGAGCTGAATACTTTTTCTGGCAAAGAGATTAGTTTTTGAGGAATCCTAGAAGCCTGTTAAGTGACTGAAATTTACAACAAACTGCTTTACAGTTTATTTAGAAAGGTGCGACCCATTCTACCTTCAGCTTTGCCAGAGTATGATTAGAGCAAGGAGCACCTTTAGAAATAAAGACTAATGTAATTCTCCTATGAAAATAACTCAACCTACAAGCATGCAGTGAAAAGACTAGAGCAGAGTTTCGTAAAACAAGGCATTTTTACAGTTATGTACGGTAGATTGTACTTACAGTGACATTGCAACTGAGGTTTCATTATATGAAAGCTCTGTCAGGCAGATTATTTTTAATTGCCTTTGAAAGTTGAACTCATTTAAGCCTGATTAGATGTGAATCCCCTACAAGATGTGTAAAGTTCTCTTCTACAGCGTGCTTTACAAGTGAAAACAGCAAAGGGATTTCCTCACTTTCCGCTTTCATGCCTCTGTGGGTTTTTATCACATAACAATGCTTTACCTATCCCAGGCTAGGCTGCGGCCCCATCTGTATGCAGTAATAAGCAAAAGAGGCGTCAGCATGACATGCTTGGGTAACCCTGCTGCAGTTTAAGAGCTGCCATTCACAGGGCACAGAGATTCTGAAGTCATAAGAGAATGTTTGGTGTGATAATTCTCATGCTCAAACTACAATGCTCTTCGACCTCTAAGCTATTTCAGAATATTGCTGAAGGGGGCGTTTGCAAAAAGATCTGGGTGTCCTTGTATATATGCTTTGTGAGCATGAACTGTTTTCCAACCTTGAACCCCAGCTGTCATCTCTTTGGATGAGAGTCACCTAAAAATTGCATTGTCCAACTATGCTAGGTTCAGAAAGTTTGAAAATTAAAAAGCAAAAACAAATCAGTCCAGGGATCAGCAACATGTCAGTGGTAAAAATTTTGAGGTCCGTGTTAAATTTTCAAAAAATTGAATGAGTGAATGACATAAAACCCCCTTCCCCATGTCCAACACAAAGTACAGTAATTTTGTCAAATGTCAGTTGCACAACATGGTGGTGCCGACCCCTGAATCAGTCTATCACATTTCTAGTTCAGAATCAGTATAGAGGCAGTCCTGTGCACATATTTTCATCAGCATTTAAAGTGCAGTCCATTCATGACACTATTTGAAGTCAGTAGCTCTACTTTGCTGCCCTTCTCAAAACCCATTCTGCATTTTCAGCAATTAAACTTTATATCCTCCTTTTTGCTTCCCTTTTCGCTAGACTATTAAAAATTGAGAATAGTTTACATGCAAACAAATGATGTGTTGGGTCATGTGAAATGCAGAAGCTGGCAAGACCACGTGTTGCCAAAATTACTGCCCTACTCTTTCCTTCATGACTAGAGACGCACTACAGAACTTCAGATTATTAGGTAAGGATGGACCTCATTAGGACGACTCCTCTAGAGTTCTGCGCTAATGTAACTCAGCCTGAAAAATGGATAATAAAACAAAGAGTTAACTTATGTTGGGCTGAGGAAGAACTGCCACTGAAGTAAGCAATGAAGATAATAGAAACAATCAAATCTCAGGGCTCTGAAAAAACAAACCTCTTCATAGGGAAGCTAATGTGATCTCAAAACACAATGGCATGTATTGAAGCAAAGGCTCCCATAATGTCTACACTCCAAATAGCTCTGGATTCCTGATACTACTCTTCTTTTTTAAAGGCATACTGACTTGAAATATAGCCAGTTTTATAAAGTGAGTAAGTAACATGTAGCACCCATGTCCAAGTTCGACAGACTATGCACAAGTGTGCTAAATGAAAAAAGTAAAAGTAATAATCTAATAACTTTGCTAATAATAATCTTAGTGTTATAAATCAC